TCTACACAGACACCCAGAGTCACAGGTAGATCTCTCCTCATCTACACAGACATCCAGAGTCACAGGTAGATCTCCCCTCATCTACACAGAAACCCAGAGTCACAGGTAGATCTCCCCTCGTCCACCCAGAGATGTGCAGAGTCCACTGCTGTGTGGGCCTTCTCCATGGCCTCAGTGTGAACCAAGTCTAACAGCAGCAGGACAGCCCAAGTTCGTCAGTCCCAGCCCCGCTCTCCTGTAGCAGCGGATGAAAAAATTCTCTTATGCCAAGTTTCAACATCCCAGGAGCTGGACCCCTAAGCCGTCTGGACTGGAAGTCAGAGCTAAAAACAGTCCTGTGGATTTTACAGGTTTCTAACAGACACTTAACCTGGAAAATATCTTCTAAGGCTACAGGTCTTCTAGCCAGGTGGGAAAATGGCTGCTGTCTGTAGAAGTTTAGGAACTACTGCAGACACCCCCCGCACATGGATTGGCATCGAGTCCGTGAGTGTTCCAGGATGCCCAGTTTAGCTTCCCAAATTGCTCGAATAGCTTGTCTCCTCAAGCTCTGCCTGCCAGACTGACACACGGACTCATAAGCGTGGCTCTCCCTTCTAGAGAAATTCTAAAGAAAAGGGGACACATAAGTTGTTTTGAGAACATGAAAGCCTTGTAATTTTGGAGCCTTCATATGAACACACTGTCACAAGACAATTGTGGCTCACATACACAGATGCTCTGGCCTCCAGCCATCTCCCAACAAAACAAACTTCAAGGTAGCTAAGCCAGTCTGCAGCTCGTGAGCTTTTAGCGCACATTCAACACCAAACAGCCTCTTCTACACACAATGTTCTTAAAAGAAACTGAGGGATGTGCTGGGAAATGATTTTTAAGGAATTCTGTGCCAGAGGAGTTACAGCTGTCCCACTCACAAAAGCCCTGGGCACAAGGCCCCAGAGAACACAGGCCCACAGCGCTACTGTTTCCGGATTGACTGCTGACCTGAGCAGTGTAAAGCTGACCCTGTTGGATTGTTCGGTGTTGTTGAGTTGGTTCTGACTCACAGTGACCCCACGTACAACAGAAACAAACACTGCTGGTCCCGTGCCATCCTCCCAAGTACTACGCTGAGCCCATTACTGCTGCCACGTTAGTGCAGCAACAGCAGAAAGAGCCCTGTCCCCAGTGGCCCGATGGGCACCGGGTAGAGTGCTGACAGGCTCCTAAGCCGCTAGAGGAACTTACTCCATCTCGATCGGGTCTTCAGAAGCAAATGAAGCCCAGCTCAAGCGGTTCACTTACTTCACACTCAAAGTCCTCTAGGAAGTCATCACCGAGCACTGCTTCTGAGAATAAAATTCAGTGACTGCTCAAGTCTGGCCCTAATTTTTTAAAGAACTATAGAAACAAGAGCAGATATGTAACAAAGACCTACAAGAGCCAAAGTCTCCAAACCGTTTACGTAATACAGAACGCACACAGAGCTACTGAATTGTCTTCGTGAACCTGGGGTCCTCGGGGGTAGCGCCCGCCTGCCCACACCCACCTTTGAGGAGCTGCTGTACTGCCGCGCTGCCGGGGCCCTTGTCGGTGCTATGCACGATGCAGTTGGCTATCCTCGTCAGGTGGCCCATGTACCCGTGCCGCCGGCCTCCCTCCGCCCTGACAGGAAAAGGACAAGGGTGAGCTTCTGAATTAGTCAGGGTGGTCCATGCTCCAGTCTGAACCCACGGCCAGTGATGACCTCAGAGGGAAAGAGTGGAAGATGGCAGCCAGCAAGGTCTCAGGAGTGGGGAGTCGAGGGAGCCCCTAGCGGTCTACTTGAGGGTTTCACTATCACTGAGCCGAACACAGACATTGGGGGGTGGGGGACGACACTCAGTAGCCTCAAGCAACGGGCTGCAGTGCATTCTGACACACAAACCAGATCGCTGGTGTCTTTCAGACCGTGACAACAGCAACACACTCACTGATGCCTGAGGCTCAACAATTGTTTGAATTTTAAGCAGATTGTCAGATTGGAGTTCCTGACCAAACTGGGTCACTGCACCATCCTAATTCCCCTAAATTGCCTACTTGTTATTACCAGTCGTTTCTGACTCATAGCAACCCTGTGCAGAGCTTCCTAGAGCAGCTGGTGGGTTTTGAACTGCCAACACTGTGGTTACCAGTCCACACCAGGACTCAATTAACTAGCAAAGAGAATAAGTAAATGGTAATTCTCAAGTTAAATTATGAGCAGATTTGACGATCTGGTCAAGAAACACAGGAGGACAGTTCTTAATCCATACACTGGATAAACCACACCACATCCCATGCCATCCGGCTTGCCCTGTCCCAGGTGTGCCTTCCCAATCCCCATCAAACCGCACGTTCAAGCTTTTTCCACTGCTGTGATTTCTCCATTTATAAATGTTAAACCAAAGACTCTGCTTGCAAGTTGTTGTTGTTGTTGTTGTTAAGTGCCGTCGAGTCGGTTCCGACCCATAGCGACCCTGTACAGGGTTTCCGAGGGTGTAAATCTTTACGGGAGTAGAAAGCCTCATCTTTCTCCCGCGGAGCGGCTGGTAGTTTCGAACCGCTGACCTTAAGGTTCGCAGCCCGATTCGTAACCACTACGCTACCAGAGCTCCCCTGCTTGCAAGTATCAGGGAACAAATGGAGAGACTTTTCGTACAAGGAATCTTTCAGAATTCGCTAGATATATAAAACACCCCAAACTCACTTTCCCGTAACCACAATTTACAAAAATCCAGGGGCCTAGGTGGGCCTCACGGACTGCCAGTCTCAGCTACTTTCAGCCACCCAGGTGGTGCAGGCAGGCCAGTGCGCAAGTGACACCCAGCCAGGCTCCCTCTAGCCCACAGGGGAAAGAAAAGCCCAGGCTTCCTGCTCTTTAAAGCATTCAAAGGGTTAGGGAAAAGGAGACCTAGTGGCATAGGGGGTTAAGCACTAAGATGACCAAATGCAAGGCCAGTGGTCTGAACTCACCAGCTGCTCCCTGGGAGGAAGCTGGGCTGTCTGCTCCCAAAAGCCGGACTGCCTCAGGAGCCCTGGGGGCTGCCCTACCCTGTCTGCTAAGATCACTGGCGCGACAAGCTGAAATTGCCTCCACAGGTGGCAGTTTAAGGAAGCATCCGAAGAGCTGGGGGCCTATCAGCCACGTCTCTCCACAAAGGGGTTCAAGGGGACAGCAGAGTACACCCTAAGGGACATTCCACTTTGGCTGAAGGTCAGAGAGGGCTCTAAGGGGCTGAGGTTGGGGCACACAAAACACCCCCCAAAGGAGGTCTCTCTGGAAGAACACAGGCAAGGTCTACAGAATATTCCATTTATTAAGCAATTCGTAAAAAAATGAATCCTCATAAACTTGCTCTCCTGCGGGCCATAGACAAGTCTGAACAGAGATCGCAGGCAGAAAGTCCCTGGGCGAGAGCCTCGAGCCCAGGGAATGATGGGATGGTCCTGGATCTGACTGAGGTGGTGGTCACCCACCAGGGTGCATCTGTCAGAATTCATGACTGTGTACCCAGGAAGGGAGAAAATAAGACAGCAATCCAGCACACTTAAAACCCACACAAGGAGTCAATGGGGCAGCCTGCTCCAAAGTCTGGGCAAGGTGGGATGACTCTGGGCACCAGAGATGGACTCTGTCCACCACCACCATGAACGACGTTGTGTGCAGCAGAGCTGCTGACCCATGACTCAGGCCGTCAGTTCCCAGAACAGCCCCAAACTGAAAGCACAAGGTCCTGTCCCCTTGAACTCCATGCATAAAGCACCCTGTGCAGGGTGAGTGTTCTGTTCCGGAAGAGGAAGGCAAGGCAACACAGGGAGCTCCTAGTCAGCTCAGGGAGGAATCACCCCACAGCCCGCGGCTGCTCCGCTCCTGGCATTCCCTTTGCAAAGAGGGCTGAGAGGCTGGGCAGCAGCGCGGGCTCTGGCCACACGGCTGCAACTCTGCAAGCTGGACAAGCGCTGAAGCCACACAGTGGCCGCATTCTCTCTGACTAGGGCCAAACACACACACACACTCTCACAAACCTGGTCGCCATGAAGTCGCTTCTGACTCACAGGGACCCTACAAGGAGTCAAGCTGCCCTGGGCTGTCATGTGTGCCAGGACACTACGTCATCTTTCTCCTGAGGAACCGCGGGTGGATCACAACTGCTAACCTTCTGGTTCACAGTCAAGTACTTAACCACTATGCCACCGCGTCTCCTTGGTGACTCAGGCACGGGGTTTTGAGGGCAGAGGGAGCAAAAAGGAAGAACAGACATTGCAAACTGAATTCCTGAAGGGAAACAAGATACTTACTGTTTCTTTTCATTCATCTCCCAGGCGTCAAGTATCCGTTCTATGAGCTGACATTTTTGAAAGAGCTGAGTAAAAACAACGGTCCAGTTAACACCGTATACACACTCAAGTGTCAGAACTTTCAAAGGAGTCACAACTCTGGTTACCCAGAGCAGCAGCAAGCAGCAGCTGGCAAGCTAACCGGGGCCATGAAGGCCTGCCTAGCCTACACAAGGTGACAGCCTGTTTCTTCAGAGACTGCAAACCGGGCTCCCCTCACCCCCACTTCAGCAGCATATCGAGTTAGTGGGACGCAGCATCCCTGTCACAGAAGCCGATGACCTAGAGCAATGCCGGGCTTTATCCACCATAAAATGAGACTCCGGAGGACAGGACTGGACCAGAACAATAATGGAATAAAGAAAAGCAGGTCCTGGCCACAACAACAACGTCAACGTGACCTGCACAGCCACCCTCCTCCAGAGCACACTGGTGAGAGTGAGGGCGCTTCTCAGCAAGGACGACCCAGAAGATTCCTCAGTGAACCCATCTCAGGTGTGACACACAACAGAACTACCCTACCCCACTTCTCCCAACCTCAGGCACGCAGTCAGCACCGAAATGTCTTCAATCTACTAACTTTCTTAGACGACAATTCACTGAATGGTGCCAGAATGACTGCTTAGCAGTGCTGTGGACTCAGGACACGGAGAGAGGGGCAGAACGGCAGGCCTGAGGATGCTTACATGTCTCAGCAACAAACTGTCCCCTGCGGCATCCTGGTCGGTTATCGTGCCATTCTCTGTGTTGTCAAAAGGACTTGCAAGGATCAGTGCCACACAAATCTCCACCTGCGTGTGCAGGAAGTTATTCCAGGTGTACTTGAAGAACATGTCCTGCGAGAGAGAGAGCAGCACGGTGTGGACCCAGGATTGAAACCCACTGATTCAGAACCTGTACAGAGCAGCAAATGACTAGCTGACCAGCAGGACTAACGCCAAGGCCCCTGAGGCAGAAACATCACTTCAAAACCGAGACACCAGGGGGCTCACTGGGAGGGCGCAGCAGTCCATGTATGAAGAAAAGATGAGAAGCAGGAAGCTGCTCATATAGAAAGGGAGGGGCTGGTCATACTTTCCAGGCAACACAAGGACAGTGAGTGTTCAATAATCTTCGAGGACATTTAGCAGAGTTTCACTGTAATTCTACTGATGGGGTCTGGGCAGGGGGCTGTGCTAGCTGCAAAATGGGAGAGGAAAAAACCAGGACTCGGAAAAGCATCACCACTCAGCCCAGAAAGCCTCACAGAAAGCCAGAAGGATTAGGAAGGGAGGGGGAATAAGTTTGTCTCATCCTGGTAAGAACCACTGAGCAGGATTTACTGAATGGAAAACTGCTCTTTCTGCACATCTTTACCCAATTCACGGGAAGACGTTAAAAACAACTCGGACGGAAGGCTTAACAGGCGGTGCTAGGGGCCCCCAGGACAGCCAACTCTGGAAGGCACGAAGCAGGCAGTTCCAGTGTGTACTCAGGAGATCGCTGACTGCTTGTCTGATTTCACCATGAATAAAATGACAAATGGCTTCCTAGGAATCTTATCAAATTTCCTATCAATTATGGAGCTCTAAAGGGTGATGATAGAATACATTAACCAGGGGTAATTAATAGTATCAGTAAAACTACAGACTAGTAATTATCTCTTTGGGGAGACCCCAGAGACAAGGAGATGGGTAAATGACAGTCGTGGGGTTCTGTGAGCCAATCAAAGGTGAGACTGTCCCCCAAGGACAATGGTTGGGCTACAAAGGAAATGGCATTCCTTTCAAGGTTCATCTCTCCCCAAAAGGTTCCTGCTCTCTAGGTGGTCTACAGCAATGTCAGTGATGTCGCTGCACCCAGGGAGGAGACCCAGGAACTAGAAGCAGCTCAGGGACACTTGGCAGCTTAAGTACTGGACTATACCCACAAGGTATGGGGTTCAAACTCACCAGCTGCCCCTTGGAGACCCTGTACAGTTAGAATGAACTGATGGCACTTTCCAACAGCAGGCAGCATGACGGTACAGGTAACAGAGCACACCCAGGTGTGAAAGTGGTGTAAATTCAAACTGTGACATCATGTAACAGCCATGGAGTGCCCCGCCGACATGCGGGACCTGAAGCAGGTGCTCTCCCTCATCCAGGACAACGTGGGAAATGACCCTACACAGGATCCTTACAATGTCTGTCAGAGAACCTACAGGGTCTTTAGGATGTCTGCCAGGAAGTGAGCACCACTAGCCCCTCCTCTGAGATACTCCCAAACAAGACAGATGGCGTGAGCCAACGTGAACAACTCTAAGAGTGTCGAATGGATGGCAGGCTGAAGGTGAGAACTCTGAGCTGGTGAGCTCTGACTTAGGACATACTGGAGTTACAGCAAGCCACACTTACAATCACACATGTTCTCATAAGCAGTATGCACTACATACCATGACATTTAATATTTTTATAGCAGACAATGTGGTAGTGTTTAATCTGCTAATGTTATCATTCACAGACGAAATGTTTCCAATCCCCAAAGACAAAGATGAGATTTATAAAGACAGAGAGAACGGAGGTGCTGGACTTCGGGGGAGCGGCCGCCCTTACCAGGATGACGCCGATGCTATTCAGCTCCATCAGATCCTCGTTGATGCTGCTGGAGTTTGTCTGCAGAAGGCTGGAGATCAACCTGATCACGTTCAGGCGGGTGTTCCCCACAGGAGGGTCCAACACACCCCACGTGGTCTTCATCACACTTTTCTGAGGCAGAGAAAGCTTTCAATGAAATCCAGCCACACATCTCCACAGGACCTTTTTACCACGTGAATTAACTGAATCCCCGGACTCTAGGTTTCACAAGAAATCACAGCTCCCCTTCAGCCAAACACCCCACAACGCAAAGAGCTACGGAACGTGCTAAAAGTCATCAAACTGGTTCAGAAATAAGCCCTCAAACTTCACCAAATCTTCAAATTAAACAGACCTGGAAGTGGCCCCTAGATCACAACCCTGAAAAGTGATCAACTAAATCCCATCCTTGCCCATAAAAAACGGGGTGATGGCGGGGAGCAGCTCTACAGTGAAGGCACCAAAGTACGGGGCAAACATTTCAGAAACTCAGCAGCTTGATGGGAAATAGTAGCAAATTTAAAACTTCCAGTTGCCGCATCCCCTCTTGTGTGTGGGTCGCCCCGCACTCTCTAGGAAGAGGAGCTGCTCACACTGCACACTGGAACGCACCCTCACTGACTCGGGGGGAACACAGCCCAGACACTGCCTAGCTGGGGATCAGGGAGACTCCTCTGACTCAATGCTGCCTTGCTTGCTTTTCCTCCTAGAAAGACGACAGCAGTCGTCCAAACCCGTCCAAACCCGCTTCCTCCCAGCTGCAGTGTAAACTGCTTTCCCTTCCCACGCAGAAATCTCTCTTCCCGGCCTATTCTTGGTAGCTCTGGGTGCTGAGCGCCCTACACTGCAGGGGATGAAGCAGAGGCGAAGGTGTGGTGGGCAGCAAGGGGAGGGGCCGCACTGAGGGCAGGGTCACCTTTAACCTTTTATGGCCCAAGTATTTACTGCTTTTGAATTTTTGGTTGATAGCATGTGTTTTCAATAAAGGAAAGACATGCTGCAATCAAAGTTACAACAATGTTTTTTGAGGTAATACCAATTTTGGTAATTTCCCAAGTGGTCTCCAGTGACAGGAAGGGTGGCCTGAGGCCCATTTATTCAGACACCATGCAGTTATACAGGTCCCCACCAGAACTGGGTTAGCAGCTTCCCAAAAGAAGCCAAGAGGCTGGAAATGTTGGTGGGCAACATAGGTCCCATAAGTCACAAAAGGATTAAAAGACAACTCGGAGCCCCCAGAGGCTACAGGGAAGAGAGGGAGGGTAAATAAATATAAGAAGCGAAGCTGGGCTCCTTCCAGACTATGGGTTCCCAGGGAAGTGCCTCTCACACTAATGACACCACCTGTACCAGCCCCAGGGTGTAAGGGAAGCCCACAACTGTGTACGGTAGACACCTCTCTTTTGTCTGCTGTCAGCTAACACACTTCACAAACTCCCAAGTCCTATTCTTCCCATGAATAGAATTTCCACAATTCCTTCCTACAAAAACGGTCTGCCCAAGAGACGGCTATACTGCTCCAAATCTGAATGTGAGAACTCAGCTTCAAAGATGAGCTCCAGGTAGTAACTTCACTACAAAGATGTGAAAAGAAAATGGTCTTTTTTACTGCCAAGAATTTACAGAGGAACGAAATGCCGTGTTTCCTAAGCAGATGAAGATTTTGCTTACTTTCAATTCTACCCCACTTACCGATTTAGTTGATACATAGGTGTACAGAGAGAGTGCTGGGTGGGACCAAAATGGTTCAGAAAAAGCTAGCAGGTGCACTGGGGAGCAGGGTAGGTTTGGCTTCTCCCAAGGTTCATCGATTGCCCCACGACTGGGCTCTGTGAATGATGAGGCTGCCCAGGCATGCGGAGACAGCAGACCTACCTTGGGTGGCTCAAGCAAGAGTTCGTGAAAAGATCCAAGTCTTCCTCGGATGGCTTCGAGAACAGTCTTGTTGACCACACAAGCTGAATGACTCATGCCTGGTGGGCAGATTTCTATATGACCTTCGAATCTGGGAACAAAGCAAGTGGCTTTGATTTATTATAATTCCACAACCGATCAGCAGTGTATGCAACAAAACACCAAAGTCCACACGCAGGGCCACCAAATCGATTCTCACTCACAGAGGCCCTACAGGACAAAGCAGAACTGCTCCTTAGGGTTTCTGAGTCTGGAGCCTTTACAGGAGCAGACAGCCTCATCTTTCTCCCATGGAGCAGCAGATGGACTTGAACTGACAACCTTGCGGTGCGCAGCCCAACACTTAAGTCACTGTACCACCAGAGCTCCTAGTCTAAGTGCTCTAAACCAAAACCAAACTAGTTTGAGTTAGGAGTTAGTTCTCCTAACTCCTAACTATTATCATGTTAATAAAACACCTCTGACCAGAACATCTGGAAAGCTAAAGGAGATGTGCCCACAGAATTGGAAGGCTCCTTTGTCAAAAGACTGCGCTCGTGCCGATAGCTTTTCTTGGATGAAGAACACGGTTTCTGACTGAACAGGTTCTGTTACTCTTGTACACACAGCTCAATCTGTAGTCATCATAAGCCACCACTTACATTATACATTGCATGTGTAATGAGACCCAAGTCCTGGTGGGTGTCTATGGGGTTTGAGGACGAGGTCAGGAGGCGATAGGCTTGCCATGTTCAGTCTACGGGGGAAGCAGATCCATCTTTCGTCATGTGGAATGATCCATTAGAAGTTGTTTCTTAAACAACACTTTTGAGAACAAACAAGACAGCAGATCGGGTGGACGTGCAGTGAGAAGCTCCGTCAGCAACAACACAGAATACTGGACCAAGCAGGCTCAGGGGATGGTCCCAGAGAACTCTGAACCACATATAAAGGAGTACTTAGAAGTTTGGAAGGCTTACAGCTGGGGGAATTTGTAGCAAAAGCAAGAAATCCAGTGCTTTCTAATTCAAGACACTCAGCTGCAACCAGAGCCGCCATCTTGGGCGAGATCAAGCGGCAGAAGGATCAGAGCAGCCATGGATGCCTGACAGAACCGCGGAGATATAGGTGTGGACATTCTTTTCTTTTGGTAGCTATTCATTGGTCTCTCGCTATCTGCGCACCTCCGTTCTGGTGACTAGAGGGGGAGCCTGAGCTAGTGGACACCCCACCCCCTGGAAGGTTCTACCACACATGCGCACAGATCTCTTCAAAATTTAAAGACAGTTTCCACTTAAAACCAAAAGGCCACAGCAAGCCCTGAACTGTTTATAACTAGAAAAAAGGCCTGAACGGGGATTGTGGATCAGGACAGGCAGACTAAAAAGGAAACAGGCAAAAAAATTAAATCCTGAGTTACGTCAAAACGACCAACAGTGGCATCTTGAAATTTCTCAAGAAGAAGAGTGAAAAGAGAAGCCCATTTCCTGATCACATCTACCTGGAGGCAATCAGAAAGCATAAAAAATACCAAAATACACACCCAAGTAAGTATTAAGGCCACAGATAACTCCTGAATATGCCCAAAAAACAGAAGCAGATGACCATACCATCACAGGTCCAGACATGAGATAAAGTGACTGAGGCAAAAGAGCTGGAAGTAGACCTACACTCCATACTGGAAGGTGGGCAGGCTTTGGAAATGCCTACGAAGGAATTCAGAAAAATGATTATAAGGAGTAGAATTGAAGAAATAGAAGCCAGAACTAGTGAGGAAGAAGATAAATCTCTCAACACTACTAAGATACAAGAGCAAACACAAAAAAGGATTAAAAAATCTGAAGAAGGCTTCAGATTCATGGTAGACAACAGGAAGAGGAATAACTTAAGAATTAGCGGCATTCCAGAACAAGAAGAATCACACAAGGCCACAGAGGTAAAGGGGATAGTTGAAGAGCTTCCGGAAGAAAGTTTTGCTAACATCCTGAAAAGTCAAAAGAAAAGCATTCAAGAAGCTCAGCGAAGCCCAGAATGGACAGACCCTAAAAGACAATCAGCAAGACATATAATAATCAAGCTCTCCAAAATCAAAGACAAGGAGAGAATCCTGAAAGCAGAAGTGTTACATACAAAGGCAAGCAAATCAGATTAAGCACAGATCTCTCAACCGAAACCATGCAGGCAAGAAGGCAATGGAGAGACATATATAAAACCCCGAAAGAAAAAAACTGCCACCCAAGAATCCTCTAACCAGCAAAGCTGTCAATCAAATACGATGGTGCATAATCAAAACATTCCAGGATAAAGAGAAGCTAAGAGATTTTGCCAAAGCCAACCCTGCTATAGGAAGTTCTGTGGACTGAGAACCAGCAAGAACACATAACAACTAGAGAATGATGTACGTGGCAGCATCACCCTTAACTCAATTGACAAATGGAAGAGTCAAGAACAGAATAAAATTATATGAACAGAGGAT